TAGGTTGTTTGCAATTTTTAATGATTACAAATAAAGCTGCGTGTACAGTCATATGCATATGTCATTCTGGGTGAGCTTTTGTTTCTCTGTAAAAAATGCCCAGGAGTGTGGTTACTGGTCATATGGTGAGTGAAAGTTCTGCTTTTTAAGAAACTACCAAGCTATTTTCCAGCACGGCTGGACCTCAGTAACATTTTACACTTTTCTCTGTAAATATTATTAGATTCAATTTTTGTTGTTACTGTAAACGGAGGATCTTTAAAGATTATATTTTGTTCGCTTTGATGTTTATAAATACAATTGCCTTTTATGGATATAATTTACACACCATGAAATTCACCATTTTAAAGTGTGCATTTCAGTGTATGTTCACAAGGTTGTACAACCACCACCTCTGTCTAATTCTAGGATATTTTCATCACCCACAAGAGATCTATCCACATTAGCAGACAGTCCCCACTCCCCTTCTCCCCAGCCCCTGGTGACCATCAGGCTTTTCTAAACATTTCCTATCAATGGAATCATAATTCGTGAACTTTTGTGCCTGGCCTCTTTCACTTAGCCATGTTTTCACGGTTCACCCACATACCGCGGCTGCAATTGGTTTTGAGTACTGATTTGATATAGGAGTAGCCTATATCTGTCTCTGCTAAATCTCTTTCATAGTTCTCATCATCTGTCTGTAGATTATTTTGGGTTCTCTATGTAGATAATCACATCACCTGCAAATATTGCCAGTTTTGTTTTCTGTTCCAATTCTTACACTTTGTTTTTATTGTTTGTTTGTGGTTTTTTTATGTCTTACTGCTTAGACATGAGGTTCTTACAGCCAAAACTACAGGTACAATGTTAAATAGAGGCATGGATGAAATCAAACTTGTCCCCAGTTTTAAGGAACGTGTCTGTTGCTCCTTTAAGAACTATGTTTGTGCTGGTTTTGTAGATAATCTTTATCAGTTGAAGGAAGTTTCTTTCTATCCCAAGTTTTATAAAACATTTTTTATCAGAAGTAGATGCTGAGATTTCTTGCCACTGCCAAGATGATCATATGACTTTCTCTCTTAATTTATTAAAGGGAAGAATGGCTCTATAGACTTTCTCTTTTTTCTTAATTGAAGTATAGTCAGTTTACAACGTTGTGTTAATTTCTGGTGCATAGATTTTCTAATGTAAAACTACCCTTTTCCAGGATAAACTCAATTCTGTCCTGATGTACGTATACTTTTTATTCATTGCTGGATTTGTTTTGCTGGTATTTTACTTAGGGTTCTTGCAATGACTGTTCCAAGCAGGACTGGTCTGTAATGCCCCTTTGAATGTCCTGAGTAAATGGACAGGAGCCATCGTTGAGTCTAAAGTGTCTCTCGGAATCTCTCTGTCCCTCCCCATACACACTGCTTTGGCTTGAGGGGTGCTCCCGTGGGTGGCAGAGGGCCAAGGCACCACCACCTGATCCCTGAGGCAGCTGTGGAAGATGGAGCTGGAAACTCTGGGACCTTGAGCTTCGAAAGGGACATGGAGCTATGATTCCCCAGACCAGCCAAGGGGCCGTTGCTCCTGGGCCCCTCATTGAAGAGGGAGGCTTAACAGAAATCTTCCCTTTCCCTTCTCAGTGGGGAGGGGGAAAGTCCTCCAGAGGAAGTGGCTGAAAGGGGGCAGGGGGCAGGGGTTAATGGCCGCATTGTGCTCAGGGCTGACGGATGGCCTGGCCGGCTTGTCAGTGGCAGTGGCCCAGCCTCAGCAGCCCCAGGGAGATTCCGCCCCTCCCAGTCATCCTCCGGGGGAGGGGGCCCTGCTGGCCTTTGATAGCCACTGGGGGGCCGCCCTCCCTGCTGCAGGGACACCAGGCCAGCCTCTTTGGTGGGGTCTGGTCTGCTGGGGCCCTGAATGCAGCCCTCCACCCCCTCCCCTGTCCCCTACCAGCAGGCACTGCAGGTGGCCACAGTGGGTGACCTTCCGAGGGCACGGTCCGCCCAGTGTCCCAACTGATCCCAGGCACCCCTACCAACCCTGCCCATCTTGTGGACCACTGGGTCTCAGAAGGGATCTAGTGAAACCCAATTCCCCCCCAATTTGGGACAAGGAAACCGACTATGACTTTTCAAGGCTCCCTTAGGAGCAGGAGCAGGGGAACAGCCAATCCTTTGACTTCCTGCTCAAATGTGCCAGGACTGCGGCCAGCACCAATGCTGAGATGAATCAGACACAGTCCGCCCTCAAGGGGCTAGAGGCTGTCTGGGAGGGGAGTCAGCACGTGAACAGAAAAGTATAACCAAGCGCTGTAGGTGCAGCAACCCAGAGTGTTACGGGTGCCAGAAAAGGGACCACTATCCCAGCCAGGAGGTCAGGAAGGCTTCCAGGAGGAAATGATGCTGGGGTTGATTTTAAAAGGGTGAGCAGAAGTTAGACCAGAGGATGGGGACAGCAGGGAAAGGTATTCTGGGCAGAGGGAACAGTATCAGCAAAAGCACAGAGTAAACCTGATGTGGTTTGTGTGAGCCACAGGAGTTCACACCTGCTGAGGACATAGGTCGGCAGGGCCCAGTTCTCCAGGACCTCATGTGCCGTGTTAGATGTTTAGATTTGGCAGTTTGGGGAAGACTTAAGAGCCAAGTTCTAATCCTGCCTCCATCAGGCCATCCATCCTTCAGTCATTCATCTCACTGAGCAATGACTTTGAGTCACTTCCTCTGGAACTGCCTCCCACCAGCACACCCTGCTCTGGGCTGCCTGGTCCCAGCCAGCTGTGGAACCTGGATGAGCACAGACACACCTCTCCCTGAGATTCTCCGACATCCTGATGTCACCAGGCTGGGGCGAGTCAGAGTGTATGTAAGTTCTTCTCGGTCCTAGAATATTGAAGAGCAGCGTGAAGGCCAGAAGCTTGAGAGGGATGGTTTCAGGGTAAGTAACAGCAGGTGCAGCCCTGGATGGCCTACCAGGGATTCTTGTTATGGGGAAGAAGCAGCTCCCTCTATGTTAGTGGGGTTTTCTGTTATTTGTAGTCAAATGCATTCCCAACTGATTCAAGCTCCTTACCTCAAGCTGAAAAATAGAGAGTATTACATACACTCCGAGATCTTACATATCCACATAAGACTGTCCAGAGAAATAAGACTCTTTCTTAAACACGGGATACACTCCTTGGCTTTATTTCAAATAATTTTAAAATTTGAAAGAGTTTCTTGTGCAAATTTGGAAATGCAATAAAAGACATAGCATTTAAAAATTTTAAATCCATCAAAACCCCACCACCCAGAGATAAATAAGGTTAGCATTTTTGTATGTTTTCTTTTTTCTTTATACATTTTTAAATGAAGTCAAGCTCACAGTATTCAGTTCTTCCTTTTTTGCTTTTTATTGAAGTAATATATATGCACATATACCTTGGTTTATTAAAGCTTAAGCCAGAAGCATTTCCTGTGTCATTAACATTTTTCATAAGCATCATTTTTAGTGGCTGTGTCATATTCTGCAACAGGAAGGTGCTGTGATTTCTTTCACCAGCCCCCTACTGCTGAACACTGAGGAGCTGGCCAACTTTCACTATTCTACGAGCTGCAGTAGACATATTTGGGTATAAGTATTTATTTATACCTAGTCTGCTTTAACAAAGTGTCATACAAATGCAGCCTCCCCTTGTACCAAAGCATTCAGCAGGGACAGCTAGGACGCCGTCCAGGGGTCCTGTGACCTGCAGCTGCCTGGCAGTGCCTGCAGGGTGCCTGTGGTTATACAGTGGCTCTGGGTCCTCCCTTAGAGTCAGCTGCAAATGTTGTTTTCATCAAGGCCAACTCAGCAACTGTGTTTTTTGTTTGTTTTGTGATAAGAATACTTAACATAAGACAGACCCTCTCAGCAAATGTTTGAGTTTTAGCAGTAATTTCCCTCCTTCTGGCTCCTCCATCCCTCTGTGCATGTTTCTAATGATCTTCCTTTTATTCTTTTCGGGTCCAGGAAATCAAAGCACCAAGGTATCGTGACTGTGTCAAAAAAGAGAAGAAATGGGCTCTGAGTGGGCCTCGGAGGGCGCCTCTGGTCCTCCTGGACTCTCAGCAGACACCGGCCCCTCTTGTGGGAGGGACTGAGGTGTGAAACTTCTGGGTGAACTGTTAACTGGGGATCTCGCTCCTTCAGGAAGAGCAACTGAGGCATTTTCCTGCCCCCATTCCTCCCCACCCTCCACCCCCAAAGTCATGTGCAGCAGGCCTCCAAAAATTGCTAATTGGGGGTTTACTGCTTCCCGAGGTGGAGAAATCTCCATCCACAATCAAGGATGTGCAGGTCCAAAGGGATGATGCACTCCTGGGAGATCTCCACCACCAGAAGGGCCCATCCACCTACAGGCCGGGTCCCCTACCAGTGTGGACCAGGTCACCAGGGAACCTGAAATGACAAACCCCAAGGATCATCCAGGTCTCACTCTCCAGACCAGTCGGGAGCACCGATGCTGCAGACAGCATCCCCCTCCAGCTTCTCGCCCAAAATGCCTCTGCCCCACGCCCAGGCTTCCCTGCACCTCTGCTCTCTTTCCTGCTCCTGAGGCTCCCCTTCCCCTCCGAGCCCTGCTTCCCCTCTGCTGGCTGGGCGACTCTCCTCTCTCTTTCTCTCTCTCTGCTTTATCGACATGTAATTCACATATCACACAATTCACACATTTAAAGGACACAATGCAACGGGTTTTTTTAGTTTATTTATATAGTCGAACAGCCATCACTACAATCATTTCAGAACATTTTCATCACCTCCCAAAAACTAAACCCTGCAACTTATTATTTATAACTTAGATGATTGATTTCTTGAATATGTGTAAGCACATTTGACTGTCCTTTATGATTGGATTACTGCATTCTGTTGATTCTTATTTTGTGGTTGGCTTTATTCCTTTGATAACTATGTAAGTTTAAAAAGCTAAAGCTCTAAACTGTCCTTAGAAACAATGATCAGCACATATATGTAAACTAAAAAAAAATTTGCAGTATATTGTATATATGTATTTACATACAAAATATTATATATGTGCAGTCAAACTATAACAATTCTACCTAATAAAACTGAAAAAGAAAGAAAGAAAGAAAGAAAGAAAGAAAGAAAGAAAGAAAGAAAGAAAGAAAGCAAGCAAGCAAGCAAGCAAGCAAGCGAGCCCTGCACCCTTTAAGTCATCATCCCCCAACTCCCCAGCCCTAGGCAACCACCAATTTACTTTCTATCTCTACAGATGTATCTATTTGGACATTCCAGACTGAATTGCTCTTGCTTAGTTTCCCCATCTATAAAATGGGGGTGGTAATGGTGCCCCGTCATAGGTTTGTTGGGAGAATTTAAATAACACAAGGGCTTAGGATCATGTCTGGCACAGAGTAAACGCTGTGTAGCATCTGCTGTCGGCACCATCTCCAGGGCTGGGGCCCCTCCGCCCACCCACATGCCTTCCCCTTGCCCTATGAGCTCATTTTGCCCTCGTCCAGATCCCCAGCCTAGACTCCAGGCCTCCCAGTCATCCCCACACAGACACCCTGACAGCCTCTCAGACTCAACGTGTCCCTCCTCCCCAAGCCTGCCTGTCCTGCTGTGTCCCTCACTCAGGAAATGGAATGACCTTCCACCTGGTCACCTAGGCCCAAAACCTAGGGCATCCTCAGTGCCTCCCTTCCCCATGCCCCCCCCACCACCATCCGGTCCATCAGTCTGACTGTGTCTCCCACGTCGCCCTCTCTGCCAGCTGCCATGACCTGTCTCCATCACCAGCTTAGTGGTCACCAGCCGGGCTCTGGTGTCCAGTGCAGTCTGTCCGCCAGTTACCGGCCTCAGGGCCTCGGGCAAGTCAGCTCACCTGTCTGAGCCTCAGTATCCTGGACCCATAAAATTGTGCCTTTTCCATTCGCTGGTTTTGAGGATATATGAATAAAACATATGAAGAGCTTAAGCGCTTGATAAACGTTACTGTTGTTAATATTATTCTCTCACCTGGGTGACTCCACCGCTGCTGACCCGGGTCCCTGCCTCCGTCTTGCCCACAGCACATCCTACACATGCTTCTTAGAGGCACTGGTCGCGGAGGGCTGACTGCGTGCAGAACACCGAGGCAGACTTCGAGGGCGCTACTTCCTTTAAACATCACGACACTCCCCAGAGGCAGGGCCTGTTGCCCTCATTTTACAAATAAGGAAGCTGAAGCCCAAGGTCCCACAGTTGGAGTTAACCACTGCCTCAGGTACACCGTTGGCATTCGTGTATTGATTAAAAACATTTATCCAGCCCCTACTGTGTGCCAGTCACTGAACTGGGTGCTGGGAAAACTAATAAATCAGACTGGCCTAGACCCAGCCCATATGATCTTTCTAGAACACAAATCTGACCCCTTGAAAATCCTTCAGTCACCACCCCACTGATCTCAGGATCCAGTCTATATACCATATCAGGGCACCTGGATCTGCAGGAGCCCTTCCTCCTTCCCCTCTGCACCCCACACCACTCCTCCCCTCTGCCCAGCTCTTCCACCTTCCCTGCCCCCACTCTGCTCCAGCTTGGGCGTGGTGGGGCCTACTCACCCCGTCACACACCACTCACCTTCTTCCCAACCTCACCTTCCTCACCTTCTCTTTCAATTTCTTTGCCTGGTGAACTTTTACTTATCTTTCGAGGTTCCATCCCCAGTCACTTCCTCCAGGAAGCCCTCCTTCCTCAACCTCCCAGCATAGTGATGAGCTCCCAGGCCACCTGTCTTGCAACACACTGGCTCTTTACTGATTTGCCTCTCCTCCTGGACTGTGGCTCCTTAGGGCAGGCCCAGGGGCTTCCTTCTCCCTCTGTCCCCTTAGCTTCCCCCCTACATCCCATCCATCACCAAGTCTACCAATTTTACCTCTTCTCTCCATGGCCCTAAGGGCCCAGCCCAGCACGGTGGTTACAGGTGAGCGTACCTTGCTGGCACCATGCAGGTACCCCATGAGCAGTCACTTTGCTCTGTTTCATATTGCTGTAAATGCAGGGACGGCATGAGGTGATGGAATTGATGATTCTTTGTCGCACCCAAGCACAGGCTCTAGCCTCTGTGATTCCAGACAAGGGGGCCAGGTTTGCTGGGATCTGCCTAGGTCCCCTCCCTAAGGTGCCAGGCCTCTCCAGAGGTGGGTGGGCAGTGGCCCTGGAGAAAGATGACCAGAGCTGGGGTCACCTGGGTGAGCCCCAAGTCCTGGCTGGGTAGCCTCTCTGTGCCTCAGTTTCCTCATCTGAAGAATGGCATCATTAGCCCATCCCCGCCTGCCTTGCAGGGCTGTTGGGAGCGGGCAGGGAGGGGACAGTGGACAGAGACGGTCTCCCTGTGAGCAGACACTTCATCACCCGACTGTGCTCCTGACACTCCCATCCTGGATACATTCTGTTTCATTTTCAAAAAAAATTCCAGGAAACTTGGTTTTAGGCTTTCTCTGGAGGTCCAGACCCATTTCAGTGTTCCCCTTGGGTTGGGCCCATCCTGAGGTCTCTTTCTCAGGGAGGGTTTGTGGGGAGAGACGCGTGGCTCGGCAGAGCTGCAGCACCTGGTTGGGACACTCACCCGCTGAGCCTCAGCCTCCACTTCCGGAAGGTGGGCCGCCACTCCCAGCCGGTGACCGCTGTGCAGATGGAGCAAGATGGTGGACGGGAAGGCGGCATGTCTCGGCGCAGGGAGGTGGCCCAGGGTAGGGGCCGGAGGGTCCCCCCTCCCTGGGGACAGAAGGTACACTGAGGACATCCTGTTGCCCCCTGGCCACCTCTCTGTGGCCTCCTCAAAGCCACATGGCCGCCTGCAATATGGCGGCCGCAGCCACCAGGCCCGGTGCTCGTTCGCAGGGCGCTCAGGGAGGGAGGGCGCCATGGCCAGGCCACGGTCACTCCTGGCGGCCCCGGGGTGCAGCGCAGGGCGGGAGGCTTGGGGAGGAGGGAGTCAGGGTGGGTGGGGGGCCGGGGAAGAGCCAGAGAGAGGGGCAGGGAGGGGAACAAAAGGTCCCTTTGTGGAGCAGGCCGGGAGAAGAGGCGCGCATTACCCAATGCCCAGAAGCCATGTTGGTAACAAGAGAACCATTCTCTGCCTCGCTTGGAAAACAACTTGGAGCAGAGGGAGACAGGGAGAGATTTAACCCCATGGGCGCGGGGCGCAGGGGCCCGAGGCCACTGTGGGAGGCAGGAGGGAGCCAGGGCACGCTTAGGGGGCCTTTCAGGCCCTGAGCGAGCGATTTCCTGTCTCCCAGGCCTGGTCTGAGGTTGGCGGGACCGAAGTCCCAACATGGCCGCTTGGCCGAGGCCCAGCAGCCCTTGGACAGGGTACTGGAGCCATGGCTTCTGCTGCCTGGGCCTGGCCTGCCCAACCTCAGGGGACCCCTCTGAGTCCTGATGCTACAGCTGCAGGTCCTAGGGCGGCTCCTGGTTCCAGGACTGCCTGGCCTCCCCTGACCTCCCTTTGCCAGCAGGGAGCATATTTCCTCCTGAGTAAATCCCTTGCATCTTTGCATAATTTTGCTGTAAGTTTTTCTTCAAATTTAATTATATCTCTTTCATCCCCACCCTGTTGTCTCCCCTTCCCATCTCTACCCACCAGCCCTGGGTCTCAGGCTTGTAGAGACCACATCTGTTATGATGGCAAAAGATACCAAAAGAAGCCATCGTGCTGTGGGTACTTCACATGTACCTCAGGCCAGGACGGCTGAAGTGAGCTGTGGTCCCTGCTGCTGACGCCACTTGTTCTAAAAGCATCTAACACAGGGCCACACGTGGGAGGCACCACATGAATAAGCACAAGAAAGAGCTCCTTCCTCCCTCTCTCCCTTTCTCCCACCCACCAGTCCTCCCTTCCTCCCTTCCTTCCTTCCTCCCTTCCTCCCTTCATCCCTTCCTTCTTCCCTTCCTTCCTTCCTTCCTCCCTTCCTCCCTTCCTCCATTCCTCCCTTCCTCTCTTCACAAATATGGGTTGAGCCATGTACCCAGCACTGTCCCAGCTCTGGGGCTCAGTGGTGGACCAGACCACCCTGCCCTCAGAGAACGAATGTTCTCCTCTGGGAGTGGACAATAAACAAGTGAACACACAAGCTAATGGCAGGTGGCCACAAGCTTGATGATGACAAAGCAGGGTAAAGGAAGAGAGTGACAGGAGGGGTTACATTAGGAACAGTGGTCAGGGAAGGCCCCTGCAAGGATGTGCCATTCCACAAAGATCTGAATGGAGAGAGGAGGAACATGTGGGTGGAGAATGTTCCAGACAGTGGGCACAGCATGTGCAAAGGCCCTGAGAGGGACTGTGCTGGGGAGTCTCAGAACAGCCAGGAGACCAGAGTGGCTGGAGTGGAGTCAGCAAGAGGGTCAGATCAGGGGAAGGCTGGAGGAACCCAGGCGAGGGGGCCCACAAGAGCTTGGAGCAGGGCTGGTGTGGTCTGGGTTCCATTTCAACGAGAACCTTCTGGCTGCCGTGTAGGAGGCCAAGGGTGAGAGCTGGAGACCTAATGGAACTTCTGTCACAGTTTCCTAAACTCTGCATGCTCCTGTCCCTCATGTCCCTTCCCTCTAGCTTGCCCACCCTCTGAGCAGAGGTGCAACCCTTCTCTGACTAAGTGTTGGCCCAGCACCTTCTAGGTGCTAAGAATGGGGGCCTTGGTCTTTGGGCCAGACAGGGCCCTAAAGAGAGCTAGGTTGCCTCCAGGTACAGTCCACTGATGGTGGGCCCTGGGCACCTGAAGGGGAACCACTGGAGGGTGAGCCTTTCCTGGTTGAAGAACAAAGCCTCTCCTTCAGGCAGTTTTTAAAGCTTCACAAAGGGGTCTCAGGACACTATCCACCCCCCAGCCCCACTGTGTTGTGACATCAGCAAATGGCCCAGCAAAGCAAGGGCTTAGCCCCCTGCCAACTCATACAGGTCCCTGGCCTCCCAGAGCCTCAGTTTCCTCTTGTGTAACACCACATGCTCCTCGCAGGTTCGGTGGGTACAGCTCAATCCTCGGGGGTGAGTGTGGCTCACGGTCACCAGCTGGGGAGAGGCAGCGCCTCCCAGTCCCTCAAGCCAGGGCCTTCCCTGCACCTCTGCGTGTTCCCGATGCACCTGTGGGGCCTCCACTCAGCCCCTGTCGAATGCCTGGAGCTGGGAGGGGGCAGTTTCTACAGAAAGTAGTGACAGTATCAGGGGAGCTTCAGATGGCAGAAGGGCCAGTGGGTAGGAGAGGAAGGCTGCAAGGCCCAGAAGGACAAAAGAGGGCAGACTTGGGGATTCTAACTGAACAGAAAGGGAACATGCCCCTTTTGGACCCCAGCCCTGGGCTAGGCACCATGGGACAGGTGAGAGAGACCCTTGTAATCCTGTCTGCCCCCAACTGACTTGCTGTAGGCAGCCCTGGCCTCTCCAGCCTCCGCATCCCCATTTGTCAAATGAGCCCCAGAGAGCGGTGGCAAGGATCAGACAAGGTGGAAGGTGGGGATGCGCTGAGGTGGGCGGAAAGCCGGCAGGGAGGCTGCTATTGGCGATGGTTAATGGTCACTGGGCTCCTGCGGGGTTCCAGGCCCATGAACCATTTACAAGATGATCTAACACCATGGATCTGTACAACAGGCAATGCTGCAGAGGAGAGCGGGAAAACCAGAGCAGGAGAGCGAGGGAGAAGGGGAGGGAGGGGGGTGGCCAGGGTGGGGGGCAGGGAAGGCTTCCTGGAGGAAGCGAGTTGTAGCTGCACATATTATGGGGGATGGGTAGGGTCTGCATCAGCCAGGAGGCCCAGGAGGGAGGCGGAAGGACCAGCACAAGCAAAGGCACGGAGTAGGGAATCAGACTTTCGAGCAGGAAAGATGTCGGCAGCACCCTGGCTGGCAAGGGGGTGTGGGAGGCTGGGGTGGGATCCTGGAAAGCCCCAGCTGCTCCTAGGCCAGGACTCCAAGTCTCACCTCCACCCCTTCCAGCCTGAGCTTAAAGCTCCTGGTTTCCACCTCCAGCCTCCGCTCAAGCCCTGCCCTCCCTGTGAGAACTCTCCCTGTGTTTTTGCTGGTGGATTCTAACCCGCTGTCCACAGCTATGTGGCATGACCCCCTCTAGGAAGCCTACTCTGAACTCTAAGCCAGGTTGAGAATCCCTCCCCTGGGAATAGTTCATTCCATCCCAATGGGAAGGAGCAATTATTATACCCATTTTACAAAGGAGGCAACTGAGTCTCCAAGAGGTGTCATCATCGTCCAGGGGTGCACAACTGGTACCAAAGCTGGGGTTCTAACGTAAAGGCCTGGCTCCTTTGAGCTCTTATGTTCCCTTCCCCATCCAACCCTGGGCCAGGCACCTCTTTCTCTCTAGATCCAGCATCTAAGTCCAGAGAAGGGCTGAAATTCAACTGCCACCACACAGCCAGGAGGTGGCGGAACGGATTTGAAACTGTAAGTGGCTGACCCCACTCCTCTGCAACCGGTCTGAGAAGGTGCAAACAGGCCCAGGACACAGGGGTGAGGGAAGGGGGAGAGGCCAGGCCTGGGGCCAGTCACCGGAGTGCGCGCAGCCCTGGAAGGCAGGAAGAACAACCAGTGAGGACGTGAGCCCAGCGTGGCCAGGCTGCCGCAGTCCGGACGGATGGCTCGTGGCAGGGCAGCAGGGGGACAGGGGACTGGCCACGGAGCTGAGAGGGCCAGCTGGAGAGGTCAGAGGGGAACCGGGAGGACTGGGGTCCTGGGTGCCCAGCCCTGGGGCTGTGCTGCGTGGGGTCAGGCGGCGGTCACGGGCACGCGCCATCTAAGGGTTGGGCCCAGCGCAGAGAGCACTGGAGATGGTGCAGGTCATGCGGGAAGTCACCCAGCGCGGGCCCGGTGCCCCGGCCCGCGTCACACTCTCACCAGGACGGAAGCCTCGAGGCCTTTCCACGCGGCACTGTCGTCAGTCAGGGCAGTCACATGGGGGGCGGGCTGCGTGGCCGTGGCGCCTTCCGGCCTCCCCGCCTCCTCCCCGCCCCTGGGGATCCTGCCACCGCTCTTGGGAAACAACTGACGAAATCAAGTGGAAACACAAATCTGCCCCCCAGTCCCTCCTGCTCCCTCGGGCCAGACCCCCGCCCCCAGCGCACCCCAGAAGGGGGTTCAGCTGCAGAGGCCATGACAGCCCAGCAGGGTTTGCCTTGGCGAGACCCAGTGGGCATTGTCCTCGGTCCCAGCAGCTGGGCCTGTCGCCCCATCTAATCCCACAGAACCAGCTCCTCCCCAGGAGGACCTGGGGCACCCAAGCTTGAGCCACCTCTCTTCTCTCTTTTCCCTAAAACTTCTAGACTCTGGGATCCAGGACCAGGGAAATTCCAGGCCTGGCTCTGCCGAGTTCTAGCTAATCAACCTGGGCAAGCCCCTTCCACTCTATAAGCCTCAGCTTTCTCATCTGTGAAATGGGAGCAACAAGCCCTGCCCAGTCCTGCCTCACAGACTGGAAAGAAAGATACAAACCAAGGGAAGGACAGTGCTGTGTAAACTGTAAAGTGCTTGGCCCACAGATTGTCACTTTGATTTTTTTTTTACAGAGAGGAGTTGCCTCCCAGTTTGGGGATGTCAGCTCCCCTCAGGGATCATGAATGGAGAAAAGAGGTCCCTGAGGTTGTTCACCCCTGGGCATCAGGGAGGCCTTCCCTAGCCCACCTGGTCCCTCTCAGCACCAGCCACCCTGTACACCTCCCAGTTCCTCTGCCCATTCCAAGGACAGGCTGCTTGCCTCAGCTGAAACATCATTTTCCAACAGAACTCCTCATCCTTCAAGACCAAGCTCAGCGCTGGACCTAACAAAGAACAGAGGCAACAGATGTGAACATGTGTGTGATCACCTGGAGAGCTGGCTCAGGAGATGACCCGTAGCAACAGGGAAGGGTCAAAGTTTACTGTGTGCACCTCCATGCTCCACCCAGGGCCCCTCCTCTTCCCCTAAGACTGAGATCCCTGTCTCCCCTGGGAGAGGAGTCAGCCCAAGGGAGCAGTCAGGCTCCTTGCTGACAGATTCAAGCTAATCCCCTGCCAGGTAACAGTGGTGCGCTCCTAGGAGGAGCCTAATGGTGGAATTTCAGGAGCTCTGCTGGGTGTGATGGAAGGTGAGGGGATACTGGGCAGTTAGAAAGTGGACAAAATCATCCTGACTTCAGACAGAGGGGACTAGACGACCAGGGAGGGGACAGCGGATGTGAGCAGCATTTTGAAGGAAAAATTGTCGTGGCTGATGAGGAGCTGTGGGGTGGATAAAGGGGCGGATGAGTCAAAAATGACTCTGAAGTTTCACGCCTGGGTCACTGGAGAACAGTGGAGCCATTGATGGGGTGGGAAAGCGGGGTGGGGGCTGCTTTGGGGGCAGGATGGTGCCTCGGGTTTGGGACATAGACTCACAGCATTTGGAGCTGGAAGAGGTCATCCAGGTCACACACGAGGAAACAGGCTCCAGGAGAAGCAGCCACTTGGCCTGGACACCACATAGTTTGATGTCAGGGCTGAGGCTGGAGACCTGGCCTGGGTCAGTCCTGGAGGTGAATCAGACCCAGTCCCCCTCCTCAGGAGAGTCAGGCATAGCCACAATTACCACGTGGTCAAACAGGTACCCACAAAGCAATGTGGGGACGCAGATGGCCGAGCCTACTTTGAGGGAAGTGAGGGGAGGGAGAGCCACCAAGGAATCACCGTTACCGGAAGTATCACATTTATCAGAAGTAGGGCCCCCTGCACCACGCGCATCTCGTGTAATCCTCGCAACCGTCCTACAAACTATGTAGATCATTGTCCCCATTTTACAGATGAGGTTGAGAAAAACTAAGCAGGCTGTCTCACAGGTCTGATGATGCCCAAACTCGTGCTCTTCAGTCCTGCTCTTTGGAAGAGCTGTGCTGGAACTGAGGCCTGACAGATGAGTAGGAGTTTTCTAAGCAACAGGGAGGGAGGGGGCAGCACCAGGCAGAGGGACCAACATGTATCAAGGCCCAGCAGCCCACCCTTCCACTGGCAGAGTTTGAGGTGTTGGTCTGTAACCGACTTCAAACCTCTTGCCCAGGGCCTCCTCCCCCGACCCACCCCACACCCATCCCCAGGTCCTTCACTTCACAGGACCCCACCTGCCCCACCCCCTACCTGTCATCTGATAAAATTGCCAGGTGAATGAACCGGGGGTGGGTGGGGGTGCGTGGGGGTGGGTGGGCCTGGGCCCCATCCCCAGAGCACCGTTGCCCATGCTCCCGGGGCCTTCTCAGCCCAATGTTGCCCCATCCCCTCTTCCCCACAGCACCATCTTCTCATCCCAGGAGTGATCCTGCAAAGTGAGTCAGCCCGAGGAGAGAGGGGTTGGCCTGAGTCACCCAGCCCGTGAGCAGCTGAGCTAAGGCTCAAAGCCACAGAGCCTGGTCTCAGTCTGTGGGGGAGCTCCCTGAGCTGGGACAAACCACGGAGTGGTCCCTCTCTTACTTCTCCATCCTTGGGCTCCCATACGTGCGGTCACCGTGGGAGTGAACCAGGAGAGAAGGAGGGCTGAGCGCTGGAACCACAGCTTAAAACTCAGGACGCAGGAGTGGTGCTGGCGTCAGCTCATACCAGCTCACGAGAGCCAATTACTAAATCTGGAATTTTCCAAGCCTGCTGATGTCACCTTGGAGACTTGAAACGGTCCCTGGTGGGAGTGCTTACATGTGAACATCAGCACTCTGTCCCTCTATGGCCAGCCCCCCATCCCTGACAGAACAGGTTGTTAAGCACTTGCCAGCACACCGCTGTCCAGGAGTCCCACCTCCCGGCTCCCCTGGAGGCTTCTGGGTTCTCTCAAGCTCCCAGCCCAGTCTTGGGCTCTTGGGGGAGTTACTATTGCTCTAAATCCACTGGCATCTCCTGCTTGCCACAGATGAAAGCCCCAATTCCCCCTCTGGGCTGCCCAGTCCCAGCATCAGCCAATCTTTCCTGCTGCATCTTCACCTGCCCCCTTCCTGCCCTTGTGCTCCAGCTACACAAAACCAGACGACACTTACTGAATAAGCCCTAGCTTTCCAGCAGCCACGCCTTTGCTCATACTGTTCCCTTCTCCTGAAACACCCTTCCCTCATCTCTGCCTCTTGAAATCCTCCACACTCTGTAAGGTTTATTCATAACTGGTGATCAATAAACATTCTTTGACTGAACAGAAAGGGGTTGAATTGAAGCCTCAGCAACCGGGATTGAAATGGGGTCTTGGCTGAGCCTGGGGCTCTGGGAAACCATGGATCCATTCCCCTGCCTCAGGACCGAGACACACCAAAACCCTCCTGCCGTCCCCAGCCTGCTGGTGGCCTCTGAGGGAATGGGGTGTTAATGGAGGACAGACTGGTCTCTGCCCTCAGGGGTGGCAAAAACAGGAATCAACTTAAACCACCCAGGTTACGTGGAAATTAATCCCTTCATTCACTGTTCAGCCTTTGAACTCCTCTTCATCCTTCAAAGCCCAACCCAGATGCTACCTCTGCCAAGAGGTCTTGCCCAGATCATAGTCCTCCATTACCCCCTCGCCCGTCTGCCTTGAGCGTGCTTTGGTCACACTCACGGCACTAAGTGGTACTTATCTGTCTGAGTCCATTTTCCCACTAGACCACAGCTAACTGAGGCATGACAGGCCCTTTTGTAAGGGTGAGCCCTCAGCCTGGTGCCCCACAGGCTTAGGAACAGCTTGTTGAACTGACTCCATCACTGTCTTGGGCACGTCCCCTCTTCTCCTTGGGCCTCAATTTCTGCCCTATATGAACAAGACTTGAACTAGGTAATGTCCAAGAATCTACCTCTTATACCCTAGGATTCTGTGAATGTATACATATACCCTCCCACTCCTCCTCAGTCTCTAACCTTCCAGTCTCCTTCCCCAAGTTCCCCGTGGGTGACACCCCTTCCTCAGCTGGCTTCGCCTCCCCTCAACACACCGTGGCAGACCACACCGCTTATGCCTCCGATCCCTGGACTCCATTTTCTGGGTGCTCTTTTCTCTCAGACTTGGGGTTCCTCTGAAAGGGCAGAGGCCTTGTCCACCCGCCCCTGCCCCACCCACAGGCCAGGCACACAGTCAGCATCCATAAGTGCCCGTCAGTCTGCTGTGATGGAGCAGCCGGGACTTGCAGGGCCTTTGGCGAGTCTCAGCGCCACTGTTCAGACAGGCCTGGAGCTGCCTGCCCCTCAGAGCTGGGCTCCCCCTCAAGCCCGCAGGGCAAACAGCCACATCCCTCTCTCTGCCTGTTTTGCTCTGACCCTCAGAGGGTGTGGGAGTGTGCAGGGGCAGATGGCAGGCCCTTCATCGCCATCCCACGCGGAGGACTCGGGTGGCTGTGGAGCCACTGTCCCCTCCCACTCTCTGCCCTCTACTCACCTCCTGAGCACACCCAGAGCCAGAGGCAAGAGCACGCGCACACACACGAGTCATGAAGGCACAGATCAGTTAGCCTGCACTGATATTTGGAACATTGGGGGCTGTCAGTCGTGCCATTGGACATTTTGACCATGGTGGGGACCATGTGGGATTGTTACAAGGGGCTCTGTTGGTCCTGAAATCCAAGTACCAGAGGCCGTCCCTGCCCCTGCGGCAGCGCTGTGCAGCAGGAAAGCAGCAGCCTGGCCTCGCATCCTGGCCCTGCCTCTTTGTCTAAGTCCCCAAGCCCCTCATGGTTCCCAAGAGGCGACCTCCTGCAGCTAAACCTCAATGTCTAGCCATCTCTCACAGGCACACGGGGCAGAGTCAGGGCCCAAGGATGGAGCAAACAGAGCTTGCCGCAGGATGAGGGAAGGAGAACTCAGAGAAGCCAGTCCATCCTGGAAGGCTCCAGGGAGCGGTGGCTCTCAGGCGATGCAGATGTGATGGGTTACAGCCCAGACTCTGATGCCTCTTCCCCTGGGAGCTTGTTGATCTTCAGCAAAATCCCAACTGCTCCATATCTCAGTTTCCCCATCTGTAGAACAGTGATACGTCATAGCTCCTACCTTATAAAGCTGTTGCAGCTGAATAAGTTAACAGATGTGCCCGCAGTGTCTGGCAGGCAGTAGCTCCTCAGTAAACATTAGCCCAGCTATTAGAAATATAGAGGAGGGGCGCCCAGCCCTCCTTGCTCCCTTCCTGGGCACAGCCCTGGTGCTAGGTGCTGGGAAGACACCCAGGGCCCTGACCTTGATGAGCTCGTGAAGATGGGGGAGGGTGCAGACAGGTTGAGAGCAGCTCACAGCCCTCTGTGTGTTTGTGCCAGGGGGACAAACGAGGACAGCTGAGGAGCCAGACCTGATGGAGGAGGGTCAGGGGCCAGGAGGAGAGGTGGAGCTTCAGAACAGAGGAGAGTGTGAGGAGGGAGTTCCAGATGAAAGGAACGGCCTGAGCAAAGGTGCAGATGGTGAACTGTGGTCAGGGAGGGCGTGCTGCAGAGTCCACCAGCTTCGCGACCATCAGCACCAGCAAGGGACGCTGTCCTTGACCCTGTGTCCCTTTGTGCACAAGGCCTCCCTCCCCACGCAGGACGACACGCCTATTTCTCATGCCTCTGCACGTTTGCCCATGAAGCCCCCTCCATAGATGCACCTCCTCTAAGCAGAGATGGAACTTAGCTCGATTTACTGTAATCATCGGGGTCTCTCTATCCCTCTAGGACAGGAGCACCCGAGACCTGCCCATGGTGGGCACTCAGTAGAGATTAGTTGAATGAATGAATGAATGAATGAATGACAAAGGCAGTGACTGCCACTTGCCCCCTACACACTGGTGATTCACCTGATGACAGACACCATCACGTACCCTGTGACCACATGGCACAAGCCGCAGGAACACAGACACACACCCTGCTAGGCCGTCACCACCCCAGCGAGCCACGTGGAAAGCTGCTCTCTCCCCACATGCCCCCTCCCCATCCATCCTCCCACCCACGCACACTTTCCCTCTCGCCTGGGGCAGCTGGTGGGAGGGTGGGGGCTGGGGTGGGGCAGGGCCAGAGGGGCCTCAGAGGCAGTGGGGGCAGAGGGCTGAGGGAGGCTGGGAAAGTCCAGGCTGTCTCTTCTGGGGGGCGGTGAGCGGTGTGGTGGGGCGCTCGCAGGGATGAGGGAGGGAGGAGGGTCTCGGCCCGGTACAGCTGCGGTCCCCTCCCCAGCAGCCTGCCCGGGTGCAGAAAGGCCTCTTTGTTCTCCGCCTTTAAAGGGTAAGAGAAACACTTATGCATGGCAAATTAGCCCAAAAATGTATTTCTCTAAAACACCCAATTGTCTCACCAGGCCTGCAGCTGCAGGGAAGTTCCAGGGAGCCGGGGGAGGGGGCGTATTTGGGGTGACCCTGAGGGACAGGGAGAGGTGGTGGGGAGAGAGGGGCCATCTCTCCTTCCCGCCTCTGCTCTCAGACTCCCACAGTCGCAGAAGGGCACAGCTGGGGAGGGCCCTAGGATCAGCGAACCAACCCCCAGCGATACAGAGAAGGAAACTGAGGCCCAGGGAGGTAGCTGGTGGCAGAGAGAGGGCTGATCCCAGGTCCCTTGGACTCTCCTCTGTACCCACTGCCTTGTCCATGCTGGAAGGGAAGGGGCCCCAGGTTCCCAAGGTCAACCAATCCAGCTGTCCTGGGCATGAAGGGAAAGAAAGAAACCAGGTGGCTTAGCTCATAAGCTGCGCACTTGGGGCTTCGGTGCCCAGGAGGATGGCCAAGGGCATCGACCAAGGTGGCCTCCTCTCCAGCCTGGTACATCTGAAGGTCAGCATGCATGGGGTGATGGGGGATTCAGGCAGTGGCACCTGAGGGGAGTCCTCCACCAAAGCCTTCCCAGAAGCAGGCAGGAGAGCCCTCTTCGGCAGGAAGGGAACCATCACACGTTGGGAGAAGGTCTGAGATCCTACACTGTGCATCCACTCAAGGCGCATTCTCCAGGAACCTGCTCTGCACAGGCCCCGGGAGTATCTGGGCTCCCAAAGGTGAATCAGAGACAGCCCTATCACCAAGGAGCTCCAAGCCCCATGGGGGAGACAGATGAGTAAATAAACAACAACCATGAAAGAAAGAGTCTCATAGGGAGGTGAAGTCCAACTGAACAACACAAACATGAATGACCAGGATTTGGGGGTAGGGACAGGGTTTCCCAAGAATGGCCCAAGGTCTGGGCCCTGAAGGGTGAGTCTGCGAATGGAAGGAGGGACATTCCAGGCAGAGGAACACAATGTGGCTCCTAAGACCCCCTCCTTGACATCAGAATTCAGAGTCATTGATTTAAGATAATTTACTGAGCATCTTTAGAGTTCCAGCCCATGTAGGAGATACAAGAGAAAGAGAGAGCATGGTTCTGACCATGGAGGGGAGGTCTTGCCAACTTGATGCAGTGAGCTTATGACAGAGAAAAACCCCCGAGCTGGCCATGAACACTGCTAAGAGGAGGACGCAGAGTCAGGGCCCAGAAGCTCCTGCAAGGACATCAGCTCCCCAGCTGTTTGCGCATCTGTACAATGCGGCGACTTAACCACCCAGGGAGACTGTCATGAGGAGACCTGGAAAGGGCAGACCCATTGACTGACACCTTGTAGATTTCAGCAATAGTTCTGGCCCCCACCCCAGAGAAGTCTGGAAATGAGAGAGATGGGGAAAGTGGGGGAGGGGAGATTGTGTGTGTGTGTGAGTGTTGTGTTCATGTGTGTACGTGGATGAGAGTGTGTGTGTGTGTGTGTGACCACATGCATGTGTAGGTGTGGGAGTGAGAGGGTATTGTGATGAATGTGTGCATGCATGTGAGAGGGTGAGTTGTGCATGTGCATGCGTGGGTGCTGTGGTTGTGTGCAAGTGCACATCTGTGTATGGGTGTGAGTGCACACCAGTGAGCTTGGGTGGGAACAGTGAGTGTGCGTGCAGGCGTGTCTGCGGAGATGGGATCACATCCGGGATGCTTCCTGGGAAAGGGCACTAAGACTGAAAAGCATGAAGAGGCCAAGCAGATGGAGCAGGTCCACTCAAAGTGGTGGGAAGGACCACAAAGGAGACCAGACCCCTTGGGCAGGCGAGAGGTCAGGGACACCATGGAGAAGGGAGAAACCTGCTGTGGGGCAGAGGCCTCTTCCCTGCCGGGTCTTCCCTGTTCCAGGAGGCACCAGCAGTTGAGCCTGACCTCAAGAGTGGAGCGAGTCTTACCTAGGCCCCCCTCCCTCACTTACCCAAGAATCTTCCTGGCTCCTTCTTCCCTCCAGGAGAAATCTGGGTTCCTCAGCATATCAGACAACGCCCTCAAAGGTCTGGGCCCTGCCCCGCTCTCCCCATCTGTCTCCTCCACACCCTACCCTTCAGCCAGGTGGCTTCACCTGCGCAGACACACCAGCCTCCCTCCATCCTCTGAGCTTTGCCCTCCCTACACGGTCTGCCTGAGGAATCCCGAGTCAGCCACCAAATTGTGGTCTTCCCCCATTTGTCCCTTTCCCTGCCGTCCTGCACCCTCATAACACTGTCCTGTGCTCCCACGTACATCTGTGACCGTCCTCACAGCATGCTGTAATTTACAAAACTGTGATCACTGGACCCACAACCACGGGGAAAACCTGTCAAAGGAGCGTCTCTGTACAAGGCACCAAGGAATTGAAAGCAGGGGCTTGAACAGGTATTTGTACACCTGTGTTCACAGCAGCATTATTCATAATTCAGAATTATTCACAATTATTCATATTTCATCCACAAAGATGGAACCCACCCAAGTGTCCATTGACAGAGGAATGGATAAACAAACTGTGCAACATACATACAATGGAGTATCATTCAGTCTTAAAAAGGAAGGAAATTCTGATACATGCTACAACATGGGTGAACCTTGAAGACACGATGCTACTAGGTGAAAGAAGTCAGACACAAAAGGAAAAATAGTGTTAGATTCCACTCCTATAAGATACCTAGAATAGTCACATCATAGAGACAGAAAATAGAACAGTGGTTATCAGGGGCTGTGGGGTGAGGGGAAAATGAGGAGGTATTGTCTAATGGATAGGGTTTCCATCTGGAAGATGAAAAAGTGCTGGAGAGGGATGGTGGTGATGGTTGTGCAACGTCGTGAATGTACTTAATGGCGCTGAACTGTACAGTTAAAAATGGTTAACATGGCAAATTTCATGGCATGTGTAATTTACCAACCAGGGGGCGGGGGAAGATACCAGGCACAGATAGTTTTTTGAGGAAGTTCTTTTTAGATTTTAAGAAACAGTTTCTTTCTGTGTAGCCTGTTCGGAATAATAGAAAAAGATGAACATCACCAAACCCCAGATGTCGTATCTCCTTCTCTTTGGGGCCACAGCACAGGGTGGCGGTGGGACAGGGTGCTGTGTGAAGTCTGTTGCTGACCAATGGCTCCTATGACTAGGTTCCCTCAGACCCTCCCGGATAACCATCCTTCCCTCTCCACACCCCCATTTCAGCCCAGGAATCCTCCGAGAGGGGTAGAGCACCCTAAGGGAAACACAGGATGACCCTGGGGTTCAGAAGGAAAATTTTCTTTCCATTTTAATTTTTACTCTCATTTTTTGGAAACTTCTACTCTGCGTATGTTCAATATAGTAGTACCTGTATATAATTTGTAAATAAATAAACAAACAGGTATACCTTGAGATCTGACTAAGGAACTGAATAGATTCTGAGAAATTCTTTGCAATATCTTTCCTATTCCAAGATTCAGGAACCACATGTATTTCAGTAATGGCCTCGGTAATCAAGCTTGGCATCTGATTCTTGCCATTCAAACTCAGGAGCTAAACAGATTCTGATAGTGAGGAATATTGTACATATTCGGGACTTTGTGCCCCCACATTTTTACTGAGAGGGGTACACAGTCACAAAAGTCAGAGACAGCTGCTTGGACTATTGGAGTAGTGAAGTCTTATGGCCCCATTTAATAGGTGGAAGAGGCGAGACTATCATTTTCACACCGCTCCCAGGAGACAGATGAAATTACCCCTTTAACAGATGATGAAATTGATGCTCCGAGAGGTTCATTAACTTCTCCAAGATTACAGAACTCAACCCACCTGGGTCTATTCCTCAAACTATATTGTTTCTTCCAGACTTCTTGCTGAACCAAGGAGGAGCTTGGCAAAGGCAGCCCCATAGCCAAGTTCCCTCTTTATCAGCAAGTTCTAGGCTGCTCCCCAACAACACACACACCCTGCCTGACCAGTTCTTCCTTATCTACACACCTGAATAAATTTCAAGATTGCCTTTCCCCAGCTGGACACTCCCCTGGCCTGGCCTCCCTTGCTGGCTGTAGTCCCCCTCGGTGGCAGTGGGCTCCCTGAGGACCCTCCTCTGTGCCCTGGATGCTTGGTAGGGGTGCTGGTACACAGTAGGGCTCAGCGAATGGTTGAACGAAGGTGCAGGAGTGACACACACAGAGCAGCCCTCATACTTGGCCACCCACGAGGGTGTGGGACTCCAGTCCCTTCAGACAATGACACCCTACAATCACCCAGCCCCCAGCCCCCAGGTAAGTGAATGTGCAGCCAACCCTCAGATCAGAAAGAAACCGCAGCGGCTGCAGGGGGGAGTAGCTGAGAACAAGAAGGAGAACACAGAGAAGGGGAGAGGATAGAGACTTCCCGGGGGCATCTTCTACCTATTCAGCCCCTGGACGGCGATGGCAAAAAAGAACCAAGAAAACAGCGGCAATGGGGGGGTGGGGGAGGATGGGTACGCAGGAGACCTTCAGATCCCACCCGACCTTCTCAAAAAGGCACTGAAGACCCTGGTTGCAGTGGACCACACCCATGTGACGAGGGGATACCACCTCCTCCCTGACACTGGCCTGACCTCAGCTGGTGCCCCCACTCTGGGCTCCCCACTGTCCTCCCACAGACTCCCCTCTGTTTGCCTCGGGGTGATCTATTGCCCTCAGCAGTCCCTGAGAGCGGTGTCAGTTTTAGGCTGTGTTTGGGTGATCTGGGAGGTGCGTGGTCCACAGGGTCATAACCATGACCGGAGAGTCTCACTCCCCCCCACCTCCTGAGAACATCCTTGGTGAGGTCATGCACTGTTCCAGACAGGGCTGCTCCTGGACTGTATCCCACTACCAGGCAGTCGGTCACGGGCTCTCAGCTGATGGGCTGTCAAGGGCTCAGATGCCAGTCATGTGGGATGGCCAGGAACCCTAGGGGATGCAGAGGCTGGGGGCTGAAGAAGGGGCATCAGCAGCTTGGGGATAGAAGGGATGTAGAGGGTGGAGGACAGTGTCATCCTGCCATCGTGACCCCACTCACAGCCATACACACGCCCCTAAACACACATGCTGTCACCATCACACTCCCAGACACAGGTACGTCCACACACACATGCCCACAGGCACAAGAACATCCCCATCATCACCTTCCCAGCACTCATACATGCACACATGTCTACACACACATTCTTGATTCACCATACAAGGCACGTCTGCACAGGAAGAAGCGCCAGATGCCCCCGAAATCGCTCTTTCTCTCCTGTTCCACTCTCTTCAACCCCACCCAACCCTGGCCATTCTTCTCCACATCAGCCATGTTTCCCAACCAAACCACCCACAAGAATCCGCTGGAAATCCTGAGAGTGGTAGCTTGTTTCTCATGCCCCTGGAGAATCACGATTTCACCTGCCCAGGCCCCATATCTGACCCCCAGCCCCCCTTGCTCACACACACCACCCCCTGGTCTCCTCCCATGGGCTGCCTGGAGAGCTGCTGCCTCCCTACGGTGCTCTCGTGGCCCACCCGGTGCTACCAGCCCTGGGGACAGCTTCTGGAGATTGGGGTCTGCCCTGAAAAACCTGGGTGAGCTGAGCCATTAGGGAGCAAGATGCAAAAAAAAACAAGCCCATTCAGGAGTTCAGCCCCAAATGATGTCACCTAGTAGTCAAAAACCACCTCCGAGCCCTGACCCACATGACAGCTGAGCCCTAAGCCTAAACCAGCCACCGATGGAGCCTCGATTCCAGTTAGAGATTATCCATCAAACCTGGGTGATAGCCTGAGACTCAACCCCAGTCTGGGCCTCAGGCCTGACCCTGACCCTGACCCCAGACTGAAGTCTGACTTTAAGCCTCAAATCAATGCTAATAAACCTTGATCTTGGCCACAAACTGGATCCTAATCCTGACACCAAAAATGAACCCTGGTCACAAACTGAGCCCTGGCCCCGGACTGAGATGTCACCCTAACTCCAGAATGAACTATCGCAGACACTGTCTATAAACTGAGCCCTGTTCCAAACCACATGATCCCGACCTTGACCCCAGAATGAACCCTTGGAGGGGAGGGTATATCTTAGTGGTAGAGTGGGTGCTTAGCATGCACGAGGTCCTGGGTTCAATCCCCAGTACTTCCATTAAAAAATAATAAACAAACAAACAAACCTTATTATCTATACTCAAAGAAAATAAATAAAGATAAATAAAAGAAACAAAGTTCTCATCAGAAGAAAAGAAAACTTTTTAGAAAAAAAAAGGGAGTGAACCCTTGATCTGGCCCAAGCTTGAGCCCTGATCTTGAGCCCAGACTGAGCCCTGACCCCCTCCCAGAATGAACTCTTACCCCAGATACAGCCTGAGCCCTGACCCTGCAGCCTAGTCCTGATTCTGGGCAGAGCGTGAGGCCTTCCCCTGAGCCAATCCTCTCAGAAATCTCTACCTTTATTCAAATTAGGAATGGTCCTCACCTTCCTTCCCCAAGGACAGGTAGCCCTAACTGAAGCCTAGGAAGATCTAGAGAACTTTCCACAAGAGCCACTTGACAGCCTTTGCTACGTGGCAGGAGGGCAGGGACTATCCTTCTCATTTTACAGGTAAGGAAACCGATTCTCAGGGAGGCTTAACTTTTTCCATGTGGTTCCAATGAATAGAACTGAAACCGAAAGGCAGAAGCTATAGGGAGATAGATTTCAGAAAGAATTTCCTGATCATCTAAACTGAGTCCAGCTAGCTTCTAAATATAAAATTTTTCTCTATAAAAAAAAGAAAGAACTTCCCAAAATTCTGGGCCGAGCCAGGACAGAACCAGCGGCGTGCAGAGGCCTGACTTGAGCTCTGTGTCACTGGAGGTGAGCCAGCAGAGGCGGGTGACTTGTTGGCTGGTGCTATGGAGAAGCCTGCAGGAAGCAGTGGGGAGAAGCCCATGGCCTCAGAGGGCTTGTCCAGTCCCAAAATGTCAAAGGGGCCTCATGCCTCATTCAGGTACTCTGGGCTCTTCCTCCCAACCCAGCAGCCCCCTAGGTACAGCCCATTTGGCCAGACCTGGAATGCTGAGAGTCCCACCATCTGACAAGGGAGAAACCCAGCCCAGCCAGGTGGGATCAGAGCTCCACCCTGACCTGCGCAGGCTCCCCTCACTGGCCCTCTACTTTGTCTGGACCAGGTGTAGATAGGAGATGAGGCCCACCTTGCCAAGCTGGCATTGGGCACTGTCACTTTAGGGCCAGGCTCTCAGTCCCAGTGTGAGTCCCCACTCTGTCCCAGGCTCAGAAGTAAACACCAAGGACTGGAAGGACGCATCACTGTTTTCAAAATGCTAAAGCAGCCTTTCCTCCCCAGCATCCCCATTTTGTAAACCTTGAACACCAAGACTCAGAGAGGCTAAGCAGCCTGCCTTGGGTGGCACAGCCAGGCAAGGGGCACATCAGGATGCAGACCCCAGACCCTGGCACCTGCCCCACTCGCTCAGCCTCACAGCTGCCCCAGGGGAGTTGGAGGATGGTGGGGGAACATGGTGCCAGGCAGCAGAGGCTGGGGTTGGGGGCTGGATGGCCCCTCGTGCCGCCGCCCCCCAGGCACCCCAGCCTGGCTCCATCCACCGGCCGCCCAGCTGCCGGCACATCCGCCCAAGCCCAGACATCAATCTACACCAGGGCCCTTGCTCCTCGTTCTTTCTGCCCTTCTCCTTCCCTCCCCACTCGCGTTCTTTTTTTTTTTTCTCTTCTCT